AAATATACCTATTAAATATAGTGGTATGTACTTTGCCTTAGTGTACAAATAGTTACACATTACAAATGTTGCAGTGGAGTAATAAACGAGTTTTATCATTTTACTTTTAATTTGCAATACCTCTGTACCTTGCTTATCTTCAAATCAAAACAAATGTGCTCTAATCAATATCTCACGTACGCCCCTTCCCTCTGACATCCCACCCTGCTCATTTGTACCATAATTCCAGGATGGAGAAAGCAAATGGAAAGTGGTTGTGGAAGAAGACGGAAACCGAAAAGTTATTTGAGCCTTTTGCCGTCAGTTACCAGCTGACCATCGTAACGCGCAAACCTCTGCTTGAAGAACAGGTCATCCGGACTCTCACCCATTTCCACAGGTAGGGTTAAGCCTACAGTTCACTAGTCATGATCTCACTCATTGACTCCTTGCTGGCTAAGCACTTGTGAAGTCATTTGTCTGTAGAAACATTTCACGAAATATTACAGCGAATACTATATTGTTCCGGCGAAATTGGGTTGAAAACGGAACACCTCCATACTTATCTTGAACTCTAGCCGAGTCTAAAACAAAATTGGGTTTTAAAAAACCCAATTTAGACTGAGACCAGAGTTGTCTTACACAAAATTGCGGAGTCTAAGACTTTTTCTGCCACGGATGTCCAAAAGCGGCCCTGTTTTAGAATAACTTTATTCTAGGGAATCAATAATTAGGTAAAAGGAACTATGAATTCTTTTTCATTCACATTTCACCAGTTTCACTCATGAATAAACAAATTAAAAGATTGAATATCCAATGAATGTTAGAAAATGCATTATTTAATGCATTCGAATCACCGTTCACAGAATTACAGTAACGGAAGGCCCTGTTTTTACCTGTTCAGGAAAGTGCCTCTCTTGAGGACATGCTTTGGCGAGCGAGATGGTGAGGCGTGGCTCAGGGAGATGACAGAGGAGATAATAGACTTCGAGGTAGGTCTTCCTAAACGATATGTCTTAATAAGCATATGCATCTATACATTTTATTTAGATGTGTTATGCACAAAATATATATGTAAGAGAAGGCAACAGCTTTCTGAAACTAAGCTATTGTGTATGCATAGGATATTTATATAGATATATATTAAGTTCAGTCTATAGTCATGTTTACATTTTACAAATAAAGTTGTTTTAAGTATTATTTTGAGTGGAGACTTATACTAGCTAGTGTTAGGGCCAGTACCGTAACAGACTTAGTGTTGTCTTTACTTGCGGGTAGTTGGTTAATTTTGTCCATGACTGTATACATTTATGCACATGTACATATGTGTATTAATTTGCTTGTAGAATTGCATGCATATTCGTACAGTCACAATAGGAAATATATCTCCATACTTGTCCAATCAACAAAGATATTCTGTGTGTATGTGCACATGCTAAAAATACCCAACTGCACAGATACAAAAGGTGGTTTAGCGGCATTAAAACATTTGATGAGCAAGTAGGGACCACAAAGTACGAAAACTGATCAACATATCTTTCAGTTACTTACAGATAACATAAAGGACCAAGATCTACACGCCAAACTACAGGGATACAACTTCAATACAGAAATTGGCCCTTTATGGTGTGTGAAGCTGAGACCAGAATCACATTCTTCAGCAGAGTGTGTATTCAGGGAAGGCACTTCAGGATTTCCTCACATGTATTCGCTGTTCCTGGGGATCAACCATGCTATCACTGATGGCACTACGAACGCCATCGTTTGCGGCTTCCTCATCCAGATACTCGACGATGTTTTGGCAGGAAAGGAAATCAATGACGAGGAACAACTCGGGATTTTCATATCAGACGAAAAGACGGTGAAAGCAATGCGAGAACAAGTAGCATTTGTGAAAGACAATCCTGAAGTCCTTAGAACATTGGAAGAGGACCACCGGAAACTACAGGAAAGGCATTCAATTTTGAAAAACACTTTCAAAGGAGTTGCAAAGGAAGGAGCACGAACTGCGTTTTTGACAAAGGATTTGAACACTGAAACTACTGCTGCCTTCATCAAGCGGTGTCGCGCAGAGGGCGTCACCGTCAACTCTGCTTTCATAGGCATAGCTAACTTTGCGTTAGTGGATCTGCTGGCGCAGGGGGGCCTCGTGCAGGAATCGTACAGTATCCGCAATGCACACGTCGTTAACACCCGTCGCTATATGGAAGGCGATGCTTCTCAGTACCTAGGGTGTCATATCGCGATCCAGAATGTGATTCACGAAACCCCGAGAAACTTCAGTGAAAACTTTTGGAGTTATGCAAAGCCCATTCACGACGAATTTCAAACGAAAATCAAAAGTGGTTTTCCGCTACAAGTAGAGGGAACAAAAGACCTCATGCCAAAGACTTCAGATTTCGACACCACTTTCGAGTTCGATTATTGCATCACCAACATGGGAGACGTGACGCAGAGGTTGACCGAGGGCGGCGATCAAGTGCAGGTGGTGCATCTCCTAAGGATTGCGGAAATAAGTAGAGTTCCGATAGCACTGGATAGTTTCTTGCACAGTTTCCGTGGTCGTTTCACGCATACTCTCGCCTACAACACATCACTTGTCACTTCGCAAATGGCAGAACTGTATTACGAGAAGATAGATTATTATCTTCGAGCATCGCTAAAGATTTAAAGGTGTATTTCATAGTTACATATTCCAAAGTATGTTCAATTGGCATTTCTTTTTTTCCGTAATACTGTCAAATCCTTAATCTTATGCATATGTAAGTCAAGAAAGACAAAGTAAAGCAAACACAAATTATATACTTTGGAATGATGAGATAGAAGAACGAACGTATATGAGAGGTGAAGATACTTATTAGCAACCAAAGTTTCTTGAAATATTTATGATCAGTATAGATAAAATAAATCCATTTTATATATATTCTGTGACCTATATTTATGGAATTTTAACTACAGAGTAAATATGAGAATGTGCACCACACTAAGATCCGTGTTACTGAATAATGTCAAATTTCGGTGTCATGATTTTATTATATCAACTAAAATGCATTGTATTACCATTTTATAACTAAAAGATCCTAATACATAATAAAATAAGCTTATTTACGGACCTAGAAAATTTACCAGTGACAGAAGCTTTAACGATGAGAGGGGCTTTTCGGCTCAAAAATCTTTTTTCATGCATTAATCATGCCGATCATTTATTTACTGAATTGTACTACCAACGTCATTGTCAATATAGTTGGGTAGTATTACCTTTTTTGTTTGTGTTAATTGTGACGTTTGGCTTTTCTTTAATTATTTTTAAGAAATGATCCATATTTGGATCTTTGCATATTTGATAACTAATTGATTACTTATTTTCCATTCTGTCATAACATACTGTTTTACGTTTTTTTTTAATTTTATAATTACATAGTTTGTATTTACTCTAAGTGTGGCGACATATGTTGTAAATTACGTATTTAGCTATTTTATGCAATCACATCAAGATGAAAAAAAATATAATTTTGGGTTGAGATATGTGAAATAATATTATTAACACTGTTACTATTATTGCCATTAAAGTTTCTAATCTGCCATTATTCGTTGCTTCTTGGTTTATCATCAGGATTATTTAAGGATTGCGACACAAATCAGGAAAAAAAAAAAAAAAAAAAAAACGCACTTGCATGAAATCATGTAACTTCCATCGCGGCGTCAAGGTTACTCCGATCTTTTCTAAGAGCTCTGTAACTGAACACTTTGCTTGTTGCGTTGTCAGTCAGTTAGCAACCACTTGTTTATACTGTGGTCTTAACATCCAAATTACACCTATGAAAGTTTTGATATTGGCGTAACATGCATTTTGTCATTTATTCATTTATTTCTTTTTCTTGTTTAAGATCACCTATTTTTTGCATATCAATTAATTTAAGAAATAAATCAAATATGTCTGTTTTGATCTACCGTTATATTAAAGCCAGTTGATATCAAACCAAAACCAAGCATAGGCAAATATGAAACGATCATTTACAAATAACAAAAAGCATAGTTTGCCAATACCCGTGAGGATTTATGCATTATACGCGTTCTATATACATAAACGGAGGTGGCATAAGTCAGTTGTAGAGCGTTGACTTCGCGATCACCCCTTTCAGTCGCTTCAACTGTGAACGAAGACTGGTATACCAATCTGACAACATACCCGTTACATTTCGCCTCGGGCTGGTCACCCTACCACATTATCCCTTAACGAACATGCGTACTGCATTCACTTGGATATGGGCCCACTTTGACTTTGATGTGTGTGTGTGTGTGTGTGTGTGTGTGTGTGTGTGTGTGTGTGTGTGTGTGTGTGTGTGTGTGTGTGTGTGTGTGTGTGTGTGTGTGTGTGTGTGCTTACGTGTGTGTGTATATTATATATATGTGTTTGTATATCGATTTATGTGTATTCATATATATGTATGTGTACACACACACATATATATGTAGGTAGGTATGAACACACGCATAAACATGGGTATGTGTACAGTATATACGCATATGCACATAAACTACATATGCACCTTTGACATCATTCACTACGCCATTCTCTTCGCCTTCATTCTCTCCACTGCGTGAACACTAAATATACCGTGTTCTTTAACCAACAGCTGTGTAAGAAGCTGAAAAATAGCGTTGCTCTAAGAAAAAAAAAAAAAAAAACGAGGCTTGCAAGTGCGTTCTTTCTCTGGCTGAGAAGAGTTAGTATTGCATCTGCTGCTCTTGAAGGAAGACGCTGCATATACGCATAAGGTTGGAATTCATGCTACCCCTGCGGAGTACATGGTTTTATTAATTGCAAGGACCATTGCCATTTCATGAGAGTTATTATTATCAATCATCATTATTATCATCACCATCATCAGCAGCATCGTCAACGTTACTAGCTCTATTGTTGTTAGTGTCATCTTTTTATTTGTGATTGAGATTGTCATAATCATTATCACAATCATCATTATCCATTGATTATAATTATTTTCATTGTTACTAATATTATCATTACCATCACTATTTTTATTGTTGTTATTATCATTATAATTGTAGTTTATACCATAAACATTATCATTATTATTGTTATCATCATTATCATTACTATGATTGTTTTTCAACATTATCATTATTTTGTTCGTATAATTTTCCATCATAATCACAAGCTTTAATACCACTACCACCCTCATCATGCAAATCACAATTATCATCAATTATCAGAATCCTATAATAAACTAAAATACCGTCGTTAGCATCTGTCGTTGTTATTTAGATACCTCTAGTTAGGTGATAATAACGTAATTGACGTGGTCAGCACTCATTCTACGGCAGTCGAGGTGAAAGCGTGGAGACTGTAATAATCGTAGGTAGTTTGGTATGTGATCATAGTTTCAGTAGTGATTGTGGATATGGAGTGATTGCGGATAAAGGTAATATGTTCTTTATTTTGATGTTCTGAGAATATCATGTTATTCTATATGGATACGTAGTGTTTGGATTTTTACTATTCATATAATAATGGGGATGTCATTTTTCGTATGTATTCTTGATAAATGCAGGGCTTGTGAGAATAGAAGAAAAATATACCGACAGTCTAAAGTGACTTTTAGAATATTTCAAATCTTTATAAACCTGACAGTGTATTTTAGTAAAAGCATTTCAGATGTACCTGAATTATGGCTTTCGTAAATCGGTAGATTATATTAATACCCTTTGGAAAATTTGAAAGAACTTAGTGAATCGCGAGCAGAGCAGATCGAAACTATTTTCGAATCGTGTATAAAATCTGCCTATAATCGACATGAACCTTTCGCCTATAAACAGACTGTGAATATCTGTGTACTAATAGCCATGGTACAAATCGTAGATCATAATATTTGGTTATAATTCATGTTTTTTTCCACATCATTTATATTATATGTTGTATGAACTATGTGTGAAGAATGAAGTATTGTATCGTAATGAGGTATAACGTTCCCACGTCCCCCATATGCTAGAACAATTATTACGGTTAGGAATTACACTCTTTGGAAAAGTTGAATTTTAGAAATATCGTGGATCATCATTATCTATGATGAACACTTTAAAATAGTATGTTCAGTGCAGTTCTTTGCATTTTGTACGAATGACCAAATTAAATTCTTGTAATTATTATCGCACACTGACAACTCACTGACTGAATGACGCATTCAGGTGGACACAATACATTCTCTGGTGTCATGAGACATATTAGACACTTGACTCGACATTATCTTATTAAATTGAACTTTATCAACACCATCTTATGTCATAATGGGAATAAATCCCTACCATACAATATAAAAGACTAAACCACTACCGGGTAGCTCAGGCTTAACTCGGTGTAAAAACAAACAAATATTATCTGAAGTCAGCAACACAAGGAGTACGTGCAAAAAGGAACACGGATAACACAGAAGTTCGTTACCCTAAACTCTACAAAAAGACCAGTATATAATAACCCACTTAAAAGAGGCTCGACAGGCCATAACACATTTTTACTTAACACATTTGACTTTGCGGATCACCCCAAGAAGCGTCATCTTTTCACAACGCAAACTAAACATAAGCACATTTTACTCACGCATCAGAAAACTTTATACAAACCAATCACCCAATAAATACAAACCCTACATGGCCTCCATCTAACTAAGAAATAAAGGGAGATAGAAAATAAGACTCGTACATTAACAAATAACTAAAGCTTCACCAAGAAGTAATGAATCTGAGCAGTAGTATCAAGAGACCGCGTGGAAACGACCCTGGTGTCGAACCTGAGGTGTCTAGAAACCACATTACGGTTGGCGCTCAAGTTCTCCCTGTTAACCGCTGTCTTCACAGCCCCGATGTTCTTATGAAATGCGCTATTTTTCTCCAACACAGAGGATGTGATGATTTTTTTTACTTGTAGCATAAAACCAACAGGAAACTCTTGATACTGGTCCTTAATTTTTCCCTCTCTTGACGAAAACTTTGGTTAATCATTAGTATGGAATTATCATTCGCAAACTTCATCTTCATTCTCACGTTTTTAAATTCAACTAGATGGAGGTCACATACCGTTTGTTTTTTATTGGTTAACTGTTGTCACCTTACTTTATGTGGTTGGCATTAATTATTACATTGGGGACATAGATTTTTGGAAGAGAATAGATGCTGGTGTGTATTCAGATTGGATTTGTGGTAGGAACTAGGTGCATCATTATGAACATTATTATTGGTATCAGTATCAATATTAGCATCATTATCACTTATTATGATCATTATAATAATTATTATTTTCATCATTATCATTATTGTTATCATCATTGTCATTATTATTATCATCATTATCATTAGTATTAGTATCATTACTATTATCATGATAATCATCACTTTTGTTGTCAACGTTATTATTTAATCATTATCATTGTTATTATTATCATAATTTACGATAACAATATCATCAATATCATTGCCATTACAAATTTCATTACTATCATCATTCTT